GTCCACTCTCACCTCTGCTTTTCAATATAATACTGGAAGTCCTAGCCAGAGCAATAAGACAAGAGAAAGACATCCAAGGAATCCAAATAGGAAAAGAAGAAGTCAAACTATCACTATTTGCAGATGATATGATAATATACATAGAGAACCCCAAAATCTCCACAGAAAAACTAATTCAACTCATCAATCAATTCAGTAAAGTGGCAGGATACAAAATCAACACGCAAAAGTCAGTAGCCTTCCTCTACACAAACAATAAATCTGAAGAAGAAGAAATCAAAAAAACCACCCCTTTTATTATCGAAACAAAAAAAATCAAATATTTGGGAATAAATCTAACAAAAGAGGTAAAGGACCTATACAAAGAAAACTATAAAACACTGTTAAAAGAAATAGAAGAAGACACAAAGAAATGGAAAGACATCCCCTGCTCATGGATTGGAAGAATAAACATTATTAAAATGGCCATCCTACCAAAGCAATATACAGATTCAATGCTATTCCAATCAAAATCTCAATGGCATTCTTCAAAGAAATAGAACAATTATTGATGAAATTCATATGGAATCACCAAAAACCCCGAATAGCCAAAGCTCTACTGAAAAAAAAAGAAGGAAATGGAGGCATCACACTCCCAGACTTCAAACTATACTACAAAGCCATAATCATCAAAACTGCATGGTATTGGAACAAGAACAGACATACAGACCAATGGAATCGAATAGAAAATCCAGAAATAAACCCACAGATTTATGGTCAACTAATCTTTGACAAAGGAGCGAAGACTATGCATTGGAGCAAAGAAAGTTTGTTCAATAAATGGTGCTGGGAAAACTGGGTCGCTACATGCAAAAGAATGAAGCTTGACCACTACCTCACACCATACACAAAAATCAACTCAAAATGGATTAAAGAACTAGACATAAGACCTGAAACCATAAAATACATAGAAGGAAATATAGGCGAAACACTACGGGATTTGCACATCAAAGACATCTTTACAGACACATCACCCAAAGCAGTGATAGTGAAGAGAAAGATAAACAGCTGGGACTACATCAAATTAAAGAGCTTCTGCACAGCAAAAGAGACAATAACAAAAACAAAGAGAAACCCCACCAACTGGGAGAACATTTTTGCACCCAACACTAATGATAAAGGACTGATCACAAAAATCTGCAAAGAGCTGATGAGACTCAGCAACAACAAAGAAAATAATCCAGTCAAAAATGGGCAGAAGAGCTAAAAAGAAACTTCTCTGAAGAGGAAATGCAAATGGCCAACAGACATATGAAGAAATGTTCAACATCACTTGTAATCAGGGAAATGCAAATCAAAACTACCATGAGATACCATCTCACACCAGTGAGAATGGCACATATTAAAAAAACTAGCAACAACAAATGTTGGCGAGGATGTGGAGAAAAAGGAACTCTTGTGCACTGTTGGTGGGAGTGCAAACTGGTCCAACCACTATGGAGAGCTGTGTGGAGATTTCTGGACCTACTAAACATAGAGCTTCCATATGATCCAGCAATTCCACTCCTAGGTATTTACCCAAAGGACACAGAAACATCAATTCCAAAGAGCACCTGCACTCCTATGTTTATAGCAGCACTGTTTACAATAGCTAAGCTTTGGAAACAACCCAAATGCCCAAAAATAGATGACTGGATCAAGAAGATGTGGTACATATATACCATGGAATATTACTCAGCATTCAAAAAAGATAAACACATGCAATTTGCAGCAACATGGATGGCACTGGAAGGGATCATGCTCAGCGAAATAAGCCAAAAAGAAAAAGAAAAATACCGGATGGTCTCACTCATAGCAGGAATCTAGAAAACTTAAATAAGGGACCAGGAAAATGAATATAAGAAAGTGAAAATCAAAATCAACAAAAAACTATGAACCAGAGACACTTTTTGGGGGGTGGGGCGGGAGGGGAAGGATTGGGGTCAGAATGGGGCGTTTGCAATTGTATGGGGGAATATAAAAATAAAATTTAATAAAAAAAAAAAAAAAAAAAAAAAAAAAAAAAAAAGAAGCTGGTCGGGTAGATGGGGTGAGGGTGGAACTCTGAGACTCAAGCTGCCCTGGGCCCTGGACGGATCTGGTAATTTCATCCCCTTCTCTCATGAATTTTACAATGTCCTGGTGGCAGCAGCTAGAATCACTGCCTGCCTTGCTGTGATCTAGTGTTCCCTGCCAGCCTGGTTGATGTGAGGCCCGGATTTGAAGTGTCCTTCCCTTAATTTACTGCTGGAGGGGCCATGTAATGTCAGTTAAGGGGCCAGGGCCTGGCGGTGCGTGACTGGGGTTTCCTATCCCCACGTTGTACTAGCTGTGTGAGCTTAGGTCACATTTTTAACTGCTCTGTGCCTCAGTCTCTTTCTCTGTAAAGTGGGGATTGTACTCTATGCTTACAGGGCTGGTGTTAGGATTAAGATAATGCAGGAGAAGTGTTTAGAGAAATGTCTGCCATACAGGTGTTGCAATTCAGAAAGAGCTTCTTTCCATTTCTCCTAGTGATGGAGGGAGGAGGTACCATGCTCCCACCCTTGAGAGACTGACAATTATGACAGTTCTTCCAAGTAGGCACAATGTTAGGGGGTGCAGACCTTCTGACTGGGGAAAAGGCCATGGGCAATCAGTGTGAGCTTATGGAATTATCAGTTATAAAGCCCCAGTACTGTGTAAGGTGCATTAAAGAAAGTCAGAACATGTCAGAACTTGAAAAGAAAATTCAGTCATTTTATTCAAACTCCTGATTTCATAGGGAAACTGAGGCCTTGAGTGGCAACGTGTCTGCCAGCGCCCTAGATTCAGGCAGCAAAAGGGCAGGGACTTGATGGGAGGCCTGGGTTTCCAGGCGTGCTCTGTGGTGCCCTTCCCGCCACAGTGCATGCTTGGAGACAGCCCCTCAGAGTAGCCAGACACCCACAGCTGAGCTGAAATCAAACCCACCCAGTGTTTGTGCTCTTTGCAATCAATGACATAAATGACTGAGCAAGAAATGACTCAGGATGCATTTTAGACAACAGCTAAGAGACATTTCCATGAATGTTTGTACAGAGTGCTTGTAAATTTATGAGTTAGCTCTGGGCAGATGGCAGATTCAGCAATAAGGTAGGAGGATCTGCCTTGGAGTCGTGTCTTCTACCTTGAGTGAACATTAATGCCCCAGGAGTAAGCAGGAGTAAGGCTCTGTAGGGGGCCCCCAGAAATGTAATTGCTCTCAGTTTCCGGTACCCTACTTGGGGACTGACAGGAAGCCAAGGAAAAGAAAACCGAGTCACTCAGATTTTAGGCTGACAGCAGCTGTGTGTGGAAATGGCCTCGGGGGTTTCCAACAGGGTATTTTAGAGGGTGCTCACTCGCTAGTGATAAGGGGGCTCATGCGGAACCCCACAGGGAGGCATCTCTGGTCACGATCACCCTTCTTTACTCTCCGCCTCTATGCAGCTCTTAGCCACCTCCTCCTCTTGGGAGTTACCCTTTCGCCGGCTCCTCTATCCTCCTGTCCACCGTCTCTCTAGCAGACAGTGGGTGACTCTGAAGACGCAACCTCCCCTGACCCTTGTTTGATCAAGATCTCGGCCTTTTCTCTTGGGGTCTTTGTCGGCTGCTGTGCTTTGCGTCAGTAAGACAAAGACGGGTCTGTCTGGAGATGTGGGCGCTGGGCGCTCTCCATATCTCTCTTCCTTTGTTCCTCTTTAATTGCGTCTCGGACCACCCAGCTAACTCTTCTCCTGTCTTTGATGTTGGTTTCCTCTGAACCTTGGCAAAGAAGACCTGTCACATGGCTCTTGTCCTTCAGCCACTAGACTCTCTGATGTCTGACCAAGCGGTGAGTGTCCTCTGTCTGCTGGCGGGCCAGGACCCGAATCTGGCACATCCCCACTCCATGCTTGTGGAATCTGAGCCTTTCTGTTTGAAGGGTCCTGACTCTCCAAACTCCCTTCCCCAAGAAGTTGAGCAGATAGAATAGAGCAGAAGGTTCTGGAACCATGTGGTCCTGGGAATTCACTCCAGACTTCCCTTTGTAAACTGTAGACACAAGTGTAAAAGTACACTGATCTCCTCCGGGTATACCTGGGGCCCTGATGGAGGCTTGAGTTGGGGAGCACCCCTTTTCTCTCTGACCATATCAAAGGGGATGGACAACAGTGGCTAAGTTGATACAGGCCAGGGTCAACTGATTGTCAAAAATCTCAATATAAATCTCAATAATCTAGAGATGCATTTTCCTCTTCTAGTCCTTCCTGTTCTTAAAGATGCTTGAAGACTCCAGATTTGTTTTGAGTGCTATTCGGCCTTCCTCCTGCAGTGGTTGTTTAACATGTTGACATTTCTCTCTCTCTGCCTTCCCTCACCACCTGCCCCACCCCTCATCTCCAGCCATAGCTTGTAAGAATTCATTCAATTCTCAGCCCCAGGCTGTCTATTCACCAGTCTCTACTGTCTATTTGCCAGCAGAGTCCGTCCAGGATGAGCATTATTGAAATTGTTAATTTATTTCTATAGCTTCAGTCTCCAGCCTGGAATGGAACAATGAGAACAGAAGTGTTCCAGACACATTGTTTGTTTAATAAAGGAACATTCTTCCAGCTGAACTGTATGGCCATTGAGTTTTCTGATTTGATTGGTTGACTCTCATAGGTGATTTTGTTTTCTCTTGTTAGAGCTGGAGGCAATGGGGAATCTAGGGGTGCATGAGGCCCTTTAATTCCTATATCATTACTCCCCTAACCTCAGTCTCTCACTTAGTCAAAAGACTTGACTTCTGTACCATTGTCCTGCCTCCAGAGAATGGATGAAAGCTGTAAATCTCAGGAAAATGAGTGTGCTGTATGACCCAGGAGAAATAACAGGCTTGCCCCTTCAGACCATCAACTCCTTTGGCTTTGAGAAGGCTGTTGATTTTATTATTAATCATTGAGTTTGATCTGATGCATTTCACAGAAACTTGGCTCTGGGTCGTGCTGTTAGCTCCAAGGGCAGAGCTATGCTGATGATGAGATTTTCCTTCACCCCCCCGCCAGATGCAAGAAGTGGTAGGGTAGACATAAATGTACTCCTCTCTTCCTTCTTGAAAGTCTGATTTGGATGCATTTGTGGGTTTCTTTATGTCACTGATGGCATGATTTAAAAATTGCTCTTGACATATTGCCAGAGGCAGGGGGATAGATGGAATGATCTTTGGTGGACCCTTCTTGGTAAAATAGCTCTAAAATTATTTCTTGTTATTTTGTGGACTATACATTTGTTTATTTCTTTTTCTTTTAGATATGGGTAGACTATGATATGACTTAGACTGAAAGAGCTGCCTTGAGCTCACTTTTGTCTACTTCTCTACCCTGGATAGAACCATCACAAGATGCAGAAAATGGATTCAGCTGGGGATAATCAATATCCCCAATATCCATCCATCCATCCATCCATTGTCATTTATTGAATGCCTCTGCTGATCTGCTCCCATTATTTAACTTCCTTTATTATTTTTATTCAGTGAGAATAGACCTTAACCATCCAAATTTTTACTTGCCTCTTTCTCTTATTTGACACAGTTGACCTCTTCCTACTTGAGATTTTCTCTTTTTAAGGTTTCTAGGATCAATGAATGATTTTCCTTGCATCTCCTCTGCTTCTTTGAGTAGCCTTCTTATTCTCTGTCATGTGTTCTTTCCCTCCCATCTACCAGAGTGTTCTCAGAGTTCTGTCCTCGGTGTTCTTTTTCTTTCCCCCTTTATTAGTCTCTTTGAACACTCCTTCTGGGCAATTTCACCCTTGTCACCATACCCAAGTTTTTATTTTCCTACATATAATGACTCTCCAATACCCTTATTTTACCTATATTTATTCCTTGTGCTCTAGGCTCTTAGGCCTGTACCCTGAACACAAATGCCTGAATGTCCAAAAATAGCTCAGTGTGTTCATAGATGAATGCAACATCTTCTCTGTCAATCCTGTACCTTCCTGATTCCCAGCTCTTCCCTTCCTTAGCCATGCCAGAATCTGGAAGCTTCCCCAGATACCTCCCTCCCTTCAGTTGGGTACTAAGTCATGTCAGTTCCATTTCCCTATCGGTGTCTACCTCACCTTCCCCTCTGCCACCATCCTAATTATAGCAATGATTATCTGCTCTTGCATTTTTGCAGCATCTTTTAACTGGTCCCTCGATTTGCTTTCTCCAAATGATCTTCACACTGTATCAGAGTGGTCTTTCTAAATGAAAATCTGATCAAGTCAATTATCTGAAAACTTTAAATGGCTTCGAAACACCCTAGATCAGGTTCACACTCCTTCAGTGTGTCGTGGCAGGTTTCTATGCTTCGCCTGTTGTCTATGTCTTTATCTCTCCAGAAATCTCTCTGTTCTCTGACTTAACCCCAGACACCTACCCGAGGTTCCATATGTACCAATCACTTGCCAGGCTGCTGAGTGCATCCAGTCCTTTGCCTGTTCTCTTCTTTGTACCTGGGATGGACTTTCCTCCCTCGATGTTTTGGTCTTAGCTTAAACATGTCTCTTCTCTGAAGTCTTCCTTGACCCCTTAGGTTTCCCCCTCCACACCTGCAAATTGCACCTCCTCTATTGCACCTGCAAATGTTGTAATAATTTGCTTTATGTCTGTTTCCCCACTAGACAGTGAGCTCCCGGAGGGTGGGATGGTGTGTTCTATCCCTCCAGCCCTAGTGCTTCATAGAAGCTCCTTTACCCCAGAGAGAACTCAGTAAATGTTTTGGGCCATGTAACCCCCTAAGATTAGTTTTCCTCTTCCGATCTGAGCTGTAGATACTTAGTGACTTGTAGGTTTAGAGATTTTCTTCTACCTTATCATATCAGAAACCTGCCAGAAAATATGAGGACTCCTGATGTTAGTTTTGTTTCTCATGTTTCGGCATAGTCAGTGAATTCTTATTTATCTGTCTCCAGCTTCATGTGCCATTTTGATTATTTGAAGGAAAAATTATTGTTAATAAGGAATATTTCACTTGACCCTTAGCCATGACCCTGGTGTTGCTGCCTTGCCTCTGCCCCAACCTCCCACCTGGGAAACAGGGGATGCCTTATCATTAGGCCATGCCTCTAGTGAAGAAATGTCAAGAAACTCTGTCATATCCTTGCAGGCCCTCCTGGCTTGTGGGTCTCCAACCATGCCACACATCTGGGGTTCCCACTGGCCAAGTCTACCATCTTTCTTCCAACCAAATGGTAAGCTTGAGCGGAACATGATTAATAGTCTGCTGCAAGATAAAAGTTTAGAAGGTGTGCCTTTGTTCCCTGTTCCCGTGGGAAACTGAAATATCAGTGCAATAACTGGACAGTTTCCTTCAGGAGGGTGCTAAATCTCAGGGCCACCTCCCCCAGTTTCTCTAAGTAACAAAATACACTGCTTCCAGCAAGTGTCCCCTGGGATGCTTTGTCAGTCCCGGTGTGAGTGTGATGTGCGCATGAATCTGTTGGCTTATGTAAGGGTGGCTGTTTGGCTGTGTTGGTTTCAGATGTTTGTTTTTATGCTATGTGGCCTGGACTTAAGACAAAGTCAATAATGCTAACATCTGGAGCTTTTATATCATAATTAGCTTTTATATCATAATTTATCATAATTCGTGAATCAATGAATTCACAAAATGTCTGGTGCACACTTACTGTAATTCAGGCCCTGTGCTGGGGTGGGTGATACAGTGGGGAGTGCAGTGGTCCCATCCCAGGGTGCAGTGTGGTATAAAGGAAGGGATTTAGACTTGAGGATAAATCTTGAGTCCATCACCTTACTGTGTCATCCCAAATAAATGACTCAACATTTTTGAGTCTCAATTTCTTCATCTATTTAAGTGAGGCTTATTCTACTTCCCTAAATGTGAGCATGAGAGAGAAAATACATCAGCTATAATCTTGTTGGTCTGGTGCCTTATGCCTCGTAGACAGAGTCCTGATTATCGTTATTATTGTCATAGTGATTGTAGTAAATTACAAGACCTAACTCTCTAAACTGCTTGAGCTGATAGGAGTAGCTAAAATTTAGTATTAAAATAGTGTATGTTCCCCAATGCAGACTCATTTCTTAGTGCTTTCCACATATTAATGCATTAAATACTTACCATGACTTTGAGGTAGATATTGTTGTTATCTTGTAGGAGGGAAACAGAAGCATAGGAAAGTGGAATAACTTGCCCATGATCTCATATTTGCTGAGTGTTTGGCCGGGATTCGAACCCAGGCAGTGTTGCTTCATATTACATGCTCTTAACCACTGTGTTACACTCTCTGTAAAATGCTTAGACTGACAGTGTTTCTAAGGTAATAACTGTATTCATTTTCTCAGGTAGCCATAAAATTTACCTCAAACTTGTTAGTCTTCTGGAGGCCAGAAGTCCAAAGTCAAAGGGTCAACTTCTGAAGGCTCTGGGGGGACTGTCCCTCAGTTCTCACCTAGCTCCTGCTGGTTGCCACAAGCAGTGGTGTTCCCTGGATTGTAGCTGCATCCTCCAGAGCTGGTGCGTGAATCTCTGCCTAGGTCTCCATATTGTGCTCCTCTCCCAGCCTCCTCTCTTCCCTCCTCTTCTTATAAGGACACAGTCAAAGGATTTAGGGTCTCCCAACTCAGTATGATGACATCTTTACTGATGACATCTGCAATGACCCCATTTCCAGAAAAAGTCACATTCTGAGAGTCCAGGTAGACAAGGATTTTTGGGAGGCACTACTTAACCATTTGCTCTTTATTTAAAAATGGGACTCAATAAAGGAATATTTATTTACTGTCATTCCAACAGCCAGGGTGGGTAATTTAAATAAGCCTTCAAAAAAACTTAATCATATTATAAGACATGATTTTGCCTGCTGTTTGGGCTGTGGTCAGACAGTGGACTAACAGAGACACTGAGGCTTCCTCAGCTGACCCTGACCCTCCCTGAGCCGGATCTCACAGCCCTCACTTACACCCCAGCTCTCAACTTCTATGAATCAAAGAGCTTCATTTATTTTTCATCTGCTGTGACCTTGAGTTCTTTCATTTCTTGCCTCTGATCAGTGCTCTGATTTGTCTGCCCTCCTGAAATTCATGAGTGAGAATTGAGAGAAGTCGCCCTCACAATCGTTCTGGATGTGTCTGAGTTCACATCGGCTTTTTACAGTGCCCTGGTCATGCCAAAGCCTCAGCCTGGCTCTGCTGCTCCCTGCTCGTCTGTAGAAGGGGCATTACCACACTTAATGACAAGGGTTGTGAATCAAGTGACCTGATGTCTGGGTGCTCCGTCACCTGTTCAGCATAGTGAATGTGTTAGCGGTCAGGCATCTGCTGCAGGATCAGATGCGAGGTCCTGGGAGCGCCCCTAGATGTCTGCCTTGCATGACTGGTTCAGTCCCAGGAGAGCTATCAGTCGGGGATGGTTGAGCGTGGGAGGGGCTGGAGGAATGGATCCAGAAGGTAGAGTGTCTGCTCCAAACTTTTGATCAGGAGATGTGCCCTTTGATGTAGCAGAATGGAGTTCCCTCCAAGAGCAAAGCAGAGGCCAGCAGGCCGGTTTGCCTGCCCTGCATTCTCTGGCAGGTTACGGTACAAAGTTGTGTGGTTGGGGTTTGGCCCTGGGCCAGCCTCCCCCTGGGGCATGCCTGCCTCCAAATATCTCATGATTTGTCCTAGTGATGACTTCTTGAGGCCATATGATGGGAACCTGTACCATCATATCAGAACGTTAGTAGGGCAGATACTTATTGGACTCTCCTATACACCTAGCACAGAAGTAGTGCAAGAGGTACAAGATACCAAGCATCAGGAAGCTCACAGCCCATTTTTGCAGAGAGATATGTACACAATCACAGCAACAGGAAGGGCCTGTCAGCAAGACCTGCCCTGTGTCAAGGTTTAGCAGTTTCTGCCCTGCAGGCCCAAACCAGCCTACTATTTGTTTTTGTAAAAAAAATTGTTCTGGAAATCAAGCCACACCCACCTGTTTATAGATTGCCTTTTGCGTAACAGCAGAGTTGAGAGGTTGTGACAGACCCCAGGAGACCTGCAAGGCCTGCCACATTTACTCTCAGCCCTTCTTTAGAAAGTTTGCTGACTTCTGTCCTAGATAATGGGTTAGCAGCAAGAGTTCTCAGTAAAAAATAAAGAACGCTGGTCTCAGGAACTTTCTGGAGTTGTGTATGAGCAACTAATGCAGAATCCAGAGGCAGTTGAACTGTGAGGTCTTTGACTGGAATGCAAGAAGCTGGGAAGCAGGCCAGGAGGGCATGAGGCAGGCAGGGCTGGGGGGCTGTGAGCTTAGGGGCACTTTCACAGGTATATGGAAGAGATGAGCAGGGGAGACCCCAGACAAGGGGCCAAGCAGGAATAGGAGATTGTGATAACAGAGGTGGGTGGATGGAAGGCCATGTTGTGCTTACAGGGAGAGTCAATGTAAAACATCCAAGAGGCGCCACTGTGGAGCCAGAAGGACTTCATGGGTCCTCTCCCCTCTTGCCCCCTCACCCCCCATCACGTAAGTGAAGAAAGGTGAAGGGAAGGATATGACTAATCTAAGCTTATCCAGCTAGTGAGTGGCCTTGGTATTGTGATGTGCAAGGAAAATATGTTCTTGGTCACTCGGATGACCGAAATATATTTTTCATATGTATTTGTTCTTTGTCTACATTCCTGGCTCAAAGGAACCCAAAACCTTGGCTTGTGGACAGTGATCAAGTTGTCTCTTGTCATGTGGATTAGGGGACTTTGGGAGAAATACCTGAGGATGGGGGCTGGTTGCCAGTAGAGCCAACCAAGTGATTGGAGTTCGGGCCTTCCAGTCCCACTCCATGTCCCTGGGGAGAGGGGTTGGGGGTTGGATTTAGTTGCAATGGCCAATGAGTTCTTTCATCATGTCTCTGTAATGAAGCCCCCATAAGAGCGCCCAAAGGAGGGGCTTTGGAGAGCTTCTGGGTTGCTGAGCATGTGGTGATCTGGGGGAGATGGCACACAGAGAGGGCAGGGAGTTCCACACCCTTCCCTGTCCCTCAACCTCTGCTGTTCCTGATTATATCCTTTGCAATAAATTGGGGTTCTAGTGAGTAAATGGGTTTCCAGAGGTCTGTGAGCTCCTCCAGCATATTAATCAAACCTGAGGAGGGGTTCCTGGGAGCCTCTGATTTAAAGCCAGGCCCCCTCCATTTTGTAACACCAACAAAAAACCCTCCCTCATCTAGAAATGAAGAATAAGTGCAATGAAACTCTATCCACCCTTTGTTCTGTCTTCCCCCATCTCCTCTTCATCATAAACCATTCACTGGCTCCATCCGTATTCCTGGGAACTTGGAAGAATGACAGCATTACATCACTAACAAGATTCCGTGTCCCTCGGGTTGATAGTGGCATCAGGAACAAACATTGATGAGAAAACACCTCTTGGGGAAGTGAGCACTTTGCCTCCTGGCACCAGACTGCCCGGCCTCTCCTGGGACCTGGAACTATGCAGGCCTCCACCCCCTCCCATGCCGTCCCCCCTCATGCAGTCCCAGGACTCCCGCCATTCAGGGAGCTGGGTTTTGGGGGAGCCTATTCTGCCAACTCCCTTGATGGCCATCTCCATTAAACACCTCCATGGAAAGATATTTCTCCTGGTTCAGAGTTTGGCATTCTGTGTGCCATTTAGAGATGCACAGGTGACAATCTGAACCTGGTGTCTGGCGTCTTAGGAGAACGAGCCTTTGCTTTGTAGACTCTGATACTATCTCCAGGTCAACAGTGTCAGGATTGAACTCCATTGACTTGAATTCTGAAGTGTTTGTCGGTGTGGGGAAACCTACCCCCCACCCATCCCAACCCCCTGCATTGGAATTGGATGCAGGAACACTATTCCACACACATCTAGTGGCCACCCCACCCCACCCTGCCCTGCCCTAACCAGGGTGCTCTCCTCTTTAGTTGTGCACTGAGTCCTAGGACCCCAACCTTATGACCTGGCTCTTTAGGGGAAGGAACTGGGAAGCTCCCAGCAGCCTCACTCTGTCAAATTTTCTGTGATCCCCAAACTCCCAGCCTTTCCCCCTAGCCTCTTATAGGATTTTCTGGAAGCTACTTGCAAGCTGCAAGCTACTTGAACACAGAGTCTCTGTCGGCTACATCTCTGCAAGGCCCTCCTTGTTCATACTGGAACTCCAGTTTGCAAAAGTGCTGAGGCTCCATGCCCATCTCCTGGAGCATGCAGGCGGCATGTCTGGGCTTCTAGAAA